TCATTCTAGAATTGACTTTTGCCGTATTTATTAGAGGCATTCACTTGTAAACTCCCTGTCTTGAAGGAATTGAAGAATGTTTACAAGCATCGTGAGGCTGGAGCTGGACCGGGCGTTGTTTCATTCTGTTGTACATAAGGTTGCTATGAGTCGGAACCAATTCATCAGCACCTAACAACATAACAGCAACAAGCATCCTTGCACATACAATAAACTCCTTATTCTGTGACTGAATGGGAAATTCCTCTCTCTCTGCCCTCTGTGCTTTACCTACTATAATGGGTAATATGTGTACAGAGATGCGTTATATCTCATTAAGCTGTTTGCTGAATAACAAATTTAGAAGTAAAAATAAAAAAATGCTTTTATCCTTCTGGAAGTTAATTACTCCATTGAACATTTAGTATATTACTCTACTGAACTTTTAGTATATGATGCCAGTGCCATCTGCATTTTCTTCAGATTTCCACCTCAGTGGAATGAATCCTAGCTCTCTCTGCTTTGCCTTGTGTGCTTTAGTTTTAACTGTCGTTTCACCGGGTCCCCTTAGTAGTAGCACCTGAAGTAACTGCTGAGGAAGCTCCTAAGTGAATTCTCATGATTTACTTCTCATTTCTCCCAGCCTTTTGAGGCTCTCTTTTTCTTGAGTGGTTTGCCATTCCACTTAAGTGGCTGATGTTTGTAGTCACCGTTGAATGTTTTATTTGAATATCACTTTCGTGATGAATGGAAGGCTGTTGCTTTTAGCTGTTTGGAGATACTATTGAATGTTTTATTTGAACATGACTTTCGTGATGAATGGAAGGCTGCTGCTTTTAGCTATATGGAGTGAAGCTTTGGAAAGGAAAAAGTTTCTTTGTAGTGATATGCTAAATGAATTTACTCTCTTTGTCGTTTTGTCCTTTTATCCTTTCAGTCTGATAACCTCAAGTTCTTGTGATTTGTTTTCTGCAATTAAGCTTAGTTGTTTCCTGAACCCAGGTGCATGCTGTTTCCAATGGTGGTCATGATGGTGATGTAGAGCATATTTCTGACCTGGAAGTGTGGTTTCTTTGACTCAAAACCACATCAATATGCCTTCCATCCTCCACTTCCTTTGCATTATTTCCTTTTGGAGGGCTCAGTTTGTCACCATTTAATCTAAGGATGATTCATCTGAGACTGACAGCTGGTGATGCTATAATAACAATTCTTTTTATAATAATATTCAGGTACTTACCATCTTACTCTTTCTGTGTTTATGAAGCACTTTCAGTTTTAATCCCTCACAGTAACCCTGTGGGTTAAGTCAGCAATTTTGTCTGTGTCTAAGATGCTAAAATTGCAGCACAAAGAGGTTAAATAACTTCCTCAGGGTTACAGTGCTTCTGAGTTACTCTGCTTAACAATTTTTACAGAAATAAAGAATACTTCTGAAGATTATTCTGGATGAATAAGAAGGACTTTTCCAAATTGTGCCTTGGTGTTTAAAACCTAGCTGTTTTTAGCCTGGCCAGTTGATAAGACCAGGGTCAAAAGCCTATTAATTATAGTTTAAATTGATGGGTCCAAGTCAAGAAAATAAATATTTAGGTCAGTTTCTGTTCTGCTGCTGATATGATAAAGTTAAGAAAGGCTCACTTTTAAATTAGCAGAACTTGAACTGGAAGTAATAAAGCTTTTTTTTTTTTTTTTTTCCTTTCCATTTCAGAGAGATGGAAAACTTGATGACTAGTTCCACCCTGCCTCCCCTTTTTGCAGATGAAGATGGCTCAAAGGAGAGTAATGATCTGGCCACAACTGGGTAAGCAGCTGCTTCGGACACTGGGCCACTGCACGGGCTTCAAAACAAAGCTTCTGACAAAATATGAGGCGCTAAAGCAGCAGTTTATGTCATAAAAATAGAAGGTGCATTTCTTGTACTTTGCAGAGAGAGTGAGAGCCATTGTAAACTGCTTTGTAATCTGCATTCAGCTGTCATTTGCAGTGTTTTAGACCCTGTGAGGAGACCTGGTGGTACAGTGGTTAAGACCTCGGCTGCTAACCAAAAGGTCAGCAGTTCGAATCCACCAGCCGCTCCTTGGAAGCCCTATGGGGCAGTTCGACTCTGACCTATAGGATTGCTGTGAGTCAGAATCCACTCGATAGCAACGGGTTTGGGTTTTGTTTTGTTTTTTTTTAGTCCCTGTGGACTGTTACAACAATTTATGGGATCCAGCAAACATCTGTGACTTCCAGTTAAGAGAATTACATAGTCCCCATTAAGGAAATACCTTGCCAAAGGGGTAGCTCTGAAAAACAACATTTTCTGTTCAGATTGCCACAGATTTTAAAATACCTTTTCTTTCCCCAAAATCAGATTTTTTTAAAGATCAGATTATTTTGGTTTTTATTCAGTGCTTAAGAGCTTTAACTGACTTCTGTTTTTGTTTGTTTTACTTGGTCTTTCACCTTTCGGGGGATCTGAAGAATACGTAAAGGACTGTGGGAAAGGGTTAACAGCAGCTAGTCTGTCCTTTCCCTTGAGAATCTTCATTTTAGTTGAAGTTTTGTTTTTTTCTACATGTTTAGAAATTATTTGGCAAAGAATAAATATATTCACTAATACATTGAAGTGGTAGCTAATCCCTAAGATGAATTATTTTAATATTCCTTAGAGCTCTTTGAAAAATAGACTACACTTTGTAATTCTGTTTCCTTCCCTCACATTCATTTCTCACCGCATTAATATCTGCCTTGTGACCTCACTACTCAGAAACTGTTCTCAAGACATTTCTAAAGGCTACCTAGTTATTAAATTCAGTTCATTCAATAATAAAGTTTTGAATATTCACTATGTGCCAGGTTCTGTTCTAGGCACTAAATATAAAGCAGTGATCACAACATAAAAATCTAGGCCCCTAGAGAGCTCAGATTTTATTGAGAAAGTCAGATAATAAACAGGATAAATAAGTAAAATGCATACTATGTTAGAAAGTGATAAGAACTATTGGATTAAAAAAGAAAGCAGGGAAGAGGGATAGGAAAAGTTTGAGAGTGCAGTTTTAGATAGAATGGCAGAAAGGCTTTAGTGAGAAGTGACTTGAATAAAGACCTGAAGGAAGTAAGGTAGCTAGCATGTAGTTATCTGGGGGAAGATTGTTCTAGTGCAGAAGCCTTGAGGCAGGAGTGTTTCTGCTTTTTAGACATAGCCAGGAAGCTAGGGTGGCTTGGAGCACAGTATACAAGGGGAAGGGGTAATGGAGGGCTGCAGCAGTTCTTCCCAAACTTTAATGTGCTTATGAATTGCCTGGAGATCTTATTATAATGAAGATTATGATTCAGAAGGTCTGCTGTAGGACCAGAGATTCTGCACTTCTAACAAGCCCATAGATGATTTCAGTGCTGCTGGTGTGAGGCCCATACTTTGAGTACCAAGGAACTGGATCATGTAGGACCTTTCAGGTCAGAGTACGCACTTTGACTCTTATGCTGAATGAGGTAGAAAAACATTTGAGTATTTTGAGCAGAGTGATCTGACACCTTTTAATACGATCCCTCTGTTGTGTTGATAATTAGAGTAAAGGGAGCATGGGCTGAAGCAGGAGACCAGTTAGGAGACTCTTGAAATAATTCAGGTGAGAGATGATGACCTGGAGAACATCATTGGTGACTTTGACAAGAATATTTTTGGTCGAGTAGTGGAGACAGAAACCTCATTGGAGTGAGCTTCTAGTAGAATGGGAATGAAGGTGGTGAGAAGTATAGAATTCTAGATATATCTTGAAGGTAAACCAAACAGGAATTGTCTGAAAGACCTGATGAGTTAAAGGAAAAAGGACAAAAAAGCAGTCAAAGACAACTCCGAAATTTTGGCCTAAGTAACTAGAGGGATAGAATTGCCGTTGTCTTATTGTTGTTAGCTACCACTGAGTCGACCCCCGACTCATGGTGAGCCCATGCACAATGAAACAAACCAATGCCTGGTCCTGCGCCATCCTCACGATCAGTTGCAGATCAGACTGTTGTGATCCATAGGGTTTTCACTGGCCAGTTTTCAGAAGTAGATTATCAGGCCTTTCTTCCTAGTCCATCTAAAAGCTATTCAGCATCATAGCAACATGCAAGCCTCCACTGACAGACAGGTGGTGGCTGCACATGAGGTACCTTGGCTGGGAATCAAACCTGGGTCTTCTGCATGAAAGGCAAGAATTCTACCACTGAATCACCAATGCCCCCACCATTACAATCTGGCTGCAACATCTGTCACTCCATTGATCACCAGAGTTGACTCAGTTGATCTAGCTGGCTAGACAGGTTTTCCCTTCCTCCCTCACTGCTCCATGTATATCCTTCCCAAAGTTGCACACTCGATCAAAGAGGACTACCTTCTCTAATACAGGAGGATGGTTCTTCAGTCAAGGGTATATGCGTAGCTGCAGTCCTCTGCTAGAACCTCCAAACAAGCCATTATCTTAGATCGGGGAAATTGAGCAGATAAGGGATGAAATTTTAGAGCTCGGTTTTGGAAGTTTTAAATTTGAGATGCCCATTAGACCTCAAGTAGCTATGTCAGATAGACAGTTTGATAGAAGTTTCTGAAGTTAGGGTAAGTCCAGGCTAGAAAGAAAAACTTGGGAGTCATCTGCATATAGCTAATATGCAAAGCGATGAGACTTGATGAGATCACCAAAGAAATGAGTACTGTATAGATAGGAAAGAGAAGAGGTCTAAACATTGAGCTTTGGGATGCTTCAGCATTTAGAACTTAGGCAGAAGAGGAAAAACCAGCATGAAAGCAGTGCAAATAGTTAACACGCTAGGCTGCTAACCAAAAAGTTGGAGGTTCAAGTTCATCCAGAGGCACCTCTGAAGAAAGTCCTGGTGATCTACTTCCAAAAAATCAACCATTGAAAACACCACGGAGCACAGTTCTACCTTGGTACACATGGGATCGCCATGAGTCAGAATCAACTTGATGGCAACTTGTTGGTTAAAAGGTAACAGAAAAACCAGAGTAGCATGGGTCTTGGAAACCAAATAAAGAAAGCATTTTTTTTTCTGTCAGTGCTGTGTCAAATGCTTCTGTTAGATCAGGTAAGATGAGGACTGAGAAAATGCTATTAGATTTAACATGGAGGTCATTGGTGACCTTAGCAAGATTTGTGAGTGCAGATCTCCTTTGGAATGAGTTTAAGAGAGAATGAGAGGAGCACACCTATGTTCACTGCAGCAGTATTCACAATAGCAAAAAAGATGGAAACAGCCTAATTGCCCATCATGGGATGAATGGATAAGTAAAATGTGGTAAATACATACAATGGAAAACTACTCAGCAGTAAAGAAAAATGAGTTCCCCAAACATCTTACAACTTGAATGAACCTGGAGGACATTATGTTGCCAGTCGCAAAAAAAAATTAAGTGTTCTCACTTTTATGAAATGACATGAGTAGGTAAATACACAGAGACTGATGTTCTTTAGTGGTTACCAGGGATGAGGGGAAGGGGGATTCACTCCTTAGATAGTAGACACTTGGTATTTTTGGTGATGGGAAAGGTAACACCAAATGAGGGTAAAGTGTGCAACACTTGACAAAGGTAAATGATGCCACTAGGACGTACACAGGAAAGAAGGACCTTTTGATAATTGCTATGGCAAATATAATTTTGCAGTAGCCAAAAAATATATGTACAGGTATATGTGTACGTATGTACGCATATATGTGTATGGGTATGTATATGTGAGTATATATGTGTGTATATAAATATGTATATGTGTGTATGCATATATATGCATATACTTCTTAGACATAACCAAACACCTCAGAGGACTGGTTTTCTGGTTTTGAAGGCTTAGGACCATCGGACAATTCAGTCGATTGGCATAATATAGTTAATAAAGTTTATGTTCTACATCCTAGTTTGGCGAATAGTGTTTAGGGTCTTAAAAGCTTGCAAGCAGCCGTCTAAGATACAGCTAATGTCTCTACTTGTCTGGAGCAAAAGAGAAAGAAGGAAACCAGAAACTCAAAGAAACTAGTCTACAGGCCTAATAGCCTACATGAGCCACATCTACCCTGAGACCAGAAGAACTAGGTAGTGCCTGGCTACCAGTACCATCCGTTCTGATCAGGGCCACAACAGATGGACCCTAAAAGAAAGGGAGAAAAATGTGGAACAGAACCTCAGATTCTTAAAAAATTCAGACTCACTGATTTACTGGACCAGTTGAGAGTGGACGACTCCCCGAGACGGTTGCCCTGAGATACTCTTTATACCTTGAACCAAAACTAGCCCCTGAGTTCAACCTTCAAACAACAGATTGTCTCACAAAACAAGGAATATCACCCATGAGTACAGTGCTCCTTTAAAAAATCATCCATATGAGACCAAACGGTCAACAATTACTTCAAAACAAAGATTAGAAAAGTAAGGGGGCAGGGAAACTAGATTACTAGAAATGGAACAACCAGAACAGAAATAATGAGAATGTTCATGCATTGTGAAGAATGTAACTAACGTCACTGAACAATTTGTGTAGAAATTATTGAATCGTGTAAACCCTCACCAAAATCAGTAAAATATTATTAAAACAAAAAAAGAGAGAGAGGCAGAGAATGGGAGAAGAGAAATTGAAGTCAGTAAATATAAACAATTCTTTCAAGGAGGTTTGCTATGAAGAAAAAGGAAAATGAGGATATTAACTAGGAGAAATGGGATCAAGAGAGGGTTTTTGTTTTGCTTTGCTTTAAGATAGGAATAGAAATACCACCTTTGTTTTGCTGATGAGGCTGATCCAGTAGAAAAGAAAGAATTGGTGGTGCCAGAGAGAGGGAAGAACTGCTGAAATGATGTCCTTGAGTAAGCAAGAGGGTGTGGGACCCAGTGCACAAATGAAACGGCTATTGGCTTTAGCTTGGAGCATGAACAATACATTCATAGTAACAAAGGAGCCTTTTTTTTTTTTTTTTTTCCTCCCCTGTCTTTATCCAACTTGTCATCTCCATGGCTGTCTTAGCCTGGGTTCTCTAGAGAAAATATATATTAAAAGATTTATCTTAAGGAAATGGTTCACGTAGTTGTGGAGGCTGGTAAGTCCCAAATCCATGAGTCAGGTGTCAGACTGGAGGCTTCTCCTGATTCATGTAGCTGCAGGGGCTGACAAACCCAAATCAGCAGGTAAGACAACAGGGCTAGGTCAGACAGCAGGCTTCTGGCTCACAGGGCTACGGAAGCTGGCAGATTCCAGAACTGGCAAGTCAGATGACAGGCTGCCGCCTCAAGTCCCAAGAACTAGAGGTCATATGATGAGCCAGATGCAGGATCCAGAGCGAGAGCAAGCTTTTCCAGAGCATCCATATATATATTCGATGCAAGTCACACTCTCAAGGAAACAGCCCTTTACATCAGATACTTGAGTAAGGGTATGTCTTAAGTAAGACGGTGACTTGAGTAAAGGTGTGACTTGAGTAAGGCTGTGACTTAAGTCACACCGTTTAGTAAGAGTATGACTCAAGATACACCCCACACTAATCCTGCCTCATTAACATATAGAGGTTTACAATTTACAACACATAAAATGGAGGGTAATTACACAATACCGAAAATGGAGGACAGTTACATCAGATCACAAAATGGAGGACAGTTACACAGTATTGGGAATCATGGCCTAGCCAACGTAACACATAGCTTTAACCATCACAATGGCATTTGACTTCTTTGGCCACTCCCTTCTGATAATTCCTGTCTACTTTGGTGAGGGATTCATAGGATTGGCACTTTTTCCCAAACCTACTTCTATAAGTTTTACTGAAATAGGAGTGTATAAGAGTGCATAACTTGATAATTGATGGCACAGTTGAAATAAGAATGACAGTGAAAGAACAGGTTGCCTAAGACATCTAAAATGATTGAAATATTTGGAAAACAAAACTGCTGAGGTCGAACCGGATTTCTGATTGCACCTCTTTTCAGAGAACATGATTGGCATTGATTTCATAGCTTCTCATGTAGCCTTTTTGAAAGGACCTCAAAAATATAGAGACCGTCTGCATAAAATCAACTATTATGTTTTTTAGAAAGGGTCAGAAAAGTATACTTTCTCTTATTCCCAGGACAGTCTGCATTGGCTCCCATTCATTTCTCAGTCCACTGTAATCTGTTTTTTATTCCCATAATTCCACTAAAACAGTACTCCCTAAGATTGACACTGACGTTTCCATCTTCAAATTTAGCAAATAATTTTTAGCACATTTTATTTGACATCTACAGCTTTTTAATTGGTTGACACCTCCTTCTTAAAAGTCTTTCTGCTTTGGTCTCTGCAACAGTATTCTCTCCTATTTCTCTTAATGCCCTCCTCAGTCTCTTTTCCCAGCTCTTCTAACACCTGCTCCTAAAATGATACGGTATCCACAGAGCTCTGTACTGACTTTTCTTCTCACTGTCTGTCTAGAGAATATGTAGTATTCTCCATGACTTCCATGGGCTAACGCCTCTCAAATGTGTGTCTCATGTCTTTCTTCACTCCTTTTCTCTGAAGGCATGTTTCCGTCTCCATCAGATTATCCTGTGAGCGTTTCAAACTTAATTTTTCAAAGCTCACTTATTTATCATCTTTCTCTCTCTTTCACACACAGGCACACACCCTGTTCTACCCTTGGTTAGTAGTACATAGTCACCTGATCTGGAAACCTCAAAATTACCCTCGACTCTTCCTTTTCGTTCACTGTTTGTATTTAGTCAGTCATTAAGTCCCCTTCATTCTACCTCTTAAGTTCTCTTAGCTCTCTATCCCCTGCTTTCCATCCTGTCTGGTATTGCCTTCGTCTGTGCCCTTGTCTCTCACTTTGTCTGTTGCAGTAGTCTACTGAAATTCATCTCCCTTTCTCCTGTTAGATGCTATTCTTTCTGCCTGGAATGATGTTGCTTACCTGAGGAATACCTGTTCATCTTTCAGTAGCTCCTTTGTGAAATCTTTCCAAACATCCTGTCCATACACATAAAATACACTATACCCCTAGCGTGCCCCATGGCACTTTTTACAAACCTCTGTTTTGGCACTTACATTGTATTGGTAAAGTAGAGGGTCAGTGAAAAAGAAGACCCTTGATGAGATGGATTGACACAGTGGCTGCAACAGTGGGCTTAGACATAACAACAATTATGAAGATGATGCAGGACTGGGCAGTGTTTCGTTCTGTTGTACATAGGGTCGCTATGAGTCAGAATTGACTCGACAGTACCTAATAACAATATTGCGTTGTAATTATTTATCTGCAACCCTGTGGAGTATGCATTCTTTGAGAATAATGACTGTTACTCTCTTATTCATCTTTCTGCCACCTCATCTTCCCTGCCTGCCCCAAAAAACATGCAAAATTCCTTAGCACTTGGTGTAGCCTTTTCTTCTATTTCTTTATCCACATACGATAGAGTAAGTCAAGGACACTACTGTCATCTGTACCTTCTTGTGTCCACTTTTCAGAAGGATGGGATATGATTTGCTAATTCTTCTGGAATATAATGATGGGAGCAGAAATGTATCTGCCTGATTAAAATCTTATACCTGAACTTAACTGAAATTGATAATACTGCTCTTAGATGATCTGTCAGTGAACACTATAATCCAAGAAAGAATAGCCTAGGGAATGTTACCATAAAAGATTTCTTATGTCCTTCAAGAACTCTTTTGTGATGGGAGCAAACTGCCTTTATAACTCATGTTCCTACTCTTCTTTATCATTAATAGTGTTTTTCCTTTACATTGGAGATCCATGAAAGGTAGCATATAAAGGTCAGATTCTATTGCATGCTCAGAGCTAAAACACAGTCTGTGTTGAGGGGAGGGGGTAATTTTGGGGGAAGAAATTATAGTTGTTTTTGGTAGGAGACTTATGGAACTGACCTGGTTTAATCAAGCGCTGAAACTATTTTTTAAACACTCTACAACTTCTCTGGAGACATGGTTTACATTTATACAGATTGTAGTAGGGAAATTAATTCAAAGACTGGAATGTGCTTTTGCTGGCAGTAAAATTTGTCTTGAATCGTGACAAACAGGAACATGTTTGAATTCTGTTGATACTAAACTTTTGCACTTCTGCCTGTTATTCTTCAGGTTAACCCACCCAGAGGTTTCATATAGTACTGGACCCACACAATCCACTAACAATCCAGAATTTGTGGAGGATCTCTCCCAAGGTCAGTTGCTTCAGAATGAGTCTTCAAATACAGCAGAAGGCAATGAACAGAGGCATGAAGATGAGGTAAGCTGAAGTATCTCCTCCTAGTGCTGGCCTCTTAAACTTCTGAAGAAGGAGTCAGCAAAGGAATTGATCAAAATGTTCATCATTGAGTCTTCTCACATTCTTAGGCTGATACCTGCAACATTTTCTGTTTTATATTTCTTATTTTCCGTAGACCCATAGAGACAGGTAGATTTTTTTTCCTCGGCTGAAGAAGTATATACCTATCTATGTTCAGCAAATGCTTATTGAATGAGTGAATGATTTAATTCAGTAGGCAATTCATGATGCATCTGCATGCCACACTTGTTCAAGGCCACACTCTGTTCATCAAGCCCTGTAGTACAGGGCCATATGTGTCCAAAGGACTCACACCACTTGCTAAATCATTCACCGTACCATAAGGGGGCACCTTTCTCTAATTCACACAAAGGTTCCATATGGGCCAGGGCAGTTGTCCCCTTGTTGATTGGACTTTCAGTGTTCCTCACAATTGACTGATTACATTGTCTTTGTTTTAAGGCACCTTTTTTTTTTTTTTTTTTTTAAAGCCAGAAAAGAGTAACTACCACCATTGATTTTTGTCTCTTACAAAAGAGCTGATTTTTTTTTTTCATCTGTCCTGTTGGCATTCTTAAAGATAATAATGAATGCTTCTTAAACATCTTAATATTCTTAGTAGCTTTAATGTTACTGAGTTTAAAAAAAGCTGATACCAAATACCATTTGCCCAATGGTGGATTATTATACCATTTTATGTATATTTGGAGTACAGTACAGTAATTAATATTTAGATGTTTTTGTCACATTCTGTTTATTTTCTCTTCTCTAAAATAAGAATTATTGTATCTATAAAACATTATTAACTGGATAGATTATGTATATTTGTAAAATTATGAGGTAAAAATATTATGTACCTTGTATCTCATTTAAAAGAAAGAAGAAAAAAGGTTGCCGTAAAACATCAAAGATTTCTATTCAGTTGGTACCAGTCTTTTTTTTTAAGCCTTTTTAGAGATGATTTAATCTTGATTTAACTCAACATATAAAGACCTCTGACTTTATAGATTATGCATTTTAAAGAACAAACCATTAAGCAAAGCACTAATCTTCATTTTGGATATATTATACTTGCTAAAATTTTTCTAAGACTTGGAAATTAAGTTAAAAGCTGTTGCTATCTGCTGTGGGAAATAAACTGGTCTTTGAATGGTATCAGTGAGAACACCCTTCCTGAGTTATTTTTAATTCCTGTGCTACAGCTTGTTTCCTCTTTTGCCCAGTGCATATGGCAACATCTTGTTCTGGTCTACTGTGATAGTGTGTGTTTCTCTGGCACAGTGCTGTGTGTGCTGCCATGTTTCTCATTTAGAATATTCTCTGTCAGGAACCAGGACCTGTTCAAAGTGCATATGAAGGCCAAAGCTTAGATGATCATGGCACCCTTACGCCAATCTGTTGGGGTTAGCACGAAATACCCCGAGTGCAACAGTTTGTACTATGGCGTATAAAAAGATCTGCAGGTGAACAGTCTAGAGTCCCTAATTGAAAACTGCATTGCCGTCATTAGTACCAATGACAAATTTGGAGAGCTGTCAATATCCAGGGTCTTATGGGTAGGAAAATGCAACTCTTACCCTGTTTTATTTGTTGGTATTTGTTGTTGTTGTGTTATTTGGGGGTTTGTTGTTGTTATTTGTTTTTTAGTTTTTTGATTTGTTTTGTAGCAAAGAAGTAAACGAGGAGGTTGGTCCAAGGGAAGAAAGAGGAAGAAACCTCTTCGAGATAGCAATGCACCCAAATCCCCCCTTACAGGATATGTTCGATTCATGAACGAGCGTCGAGAACAGCTTCGAGCAAAGAGACCAGAGGTCCCATTTCCAGAAATCACAAGGATGTTGGGCAATGAGTGGAGTAAACTGCCTCCTGAAGAAAAGCAGGTAATCATTCAAATTCTTGATCCTTTGCTTGATTTTGATTATATCTCAAATATCACATCTGTCAGAATAGTAAAGAAGATAGATAGTGGAATCTCTGGTTTAGTCACAGTAGTGTCTAGAAGACCAGAATAGCAATATCTGTCATAGTTCTTTTCTCTAGGACAGTGGTTTTAGAATTGTTTCAGGGTCTGCTGTCTGCTGCAGTATGTGGGCAGGAGGGACTTAGGACCCCCTCAACCAAGGCATCTCCACTTTTATCTGATTTATACACTGAGAGTTCACATAGATTTGAAAGGAAAAAAAAAAAAGTGGTTCTGTATTAAGAAACCCTGCAACAGAATTTATTCCACTGAGTTAAATGGAAAAAGTCATGAGTTAAGTGAGAAAATGTCAAAAAGCCATTTGATAAAATTCTGTAGTTCATGTAAAATTTTTGTTTAAGAAAAATATTTTACTACTTTAATAATTCTTTTTTAACTACAGTTCTGGTAAATTTAAACTACTATGGAAAATAAAGCAAGAACTACTTGAATTATCTCTCCTCTCCAAAACAGAACTAACCCTCCTGCCAAACTGAAACAAATCCATTTGTTAGAGAGATTTGAGGGGAATTAAGGATAATATAGCCATGAGCTGGTTGAAATGACACAAAAGCAGTGATGGTAATGATGATGGGAGTGGTTTTAGTTAAAAGTTCCCAGCATTCCCAGCATTCCCAGCATCTGAAAGATACCTACATTTCTTTTATGTCTTGTACTTTTAAATCATATTTAAGAAAGGATTCCAAACTGACTACTCTTTAAACCAAATTGAAAAATACTCTCTTAGGAATTAATTGGATTAATTTGCAACTTGAAGCTTTGTGTTTGTTAGCAAGCTAGTAGAAAGGAGTGTATGTCATCCATTGTTTTGGCTGTACTGTATAGTGATTTTTTTTTCCTTTCAAATCAGTACATGCTCATTGTTTAAATTATTTTTTCAGAAAATGCAATAGTGCATAAAGAAAAAAGCAGAAATAACAGTAGTTATTTCCAGGTATAACATAACCACTGTTAGGCGGTGGTTGTTGTTAGGTGCTGTCAAGTCTGTTTTGACTTAAAATGACCCCATGTGACAGAGTAGAACTGCCCCATATGGTTTTCTAGGCTGTAATCTTTACAGGAGCAGGTCACAGGTCTTTCTGCCACAGAGCCACTGGGGGGATTTGAACTGCCAACCTTTCAGTTAGCAGCCAAGTGCTTAACTATTGCACCACCAGGGCTCTTTGTTAGTCAGGTAGGACAGATTTTTTGTTGTTTTTAAATTTTTATTTGAAAATAATTTCAAATGTAGTAAAAGTTGCAAACATAAAAATAGTACAAAAAACACCCAATACCTTTTACCCAGACTTGCCTGTTATTAACACATTTTATCCCATTTTTCCATTTGCACATGCCTTCTTGCTCACTTGTTCTCTGTCTTTCTCATATACATTCACACACATGACTTTTTTCTGAATCTTTTGAGGGTAAGTTATATATATCATGGCCCTTTTTATACCTACAATATCTCATTGTGTATTTCCTAAGAATATTCTCTTACATAACAACAGTACAGTTATCACCTTCGTAATTTTATATTAATACAGTACTTTTATCTAATCTACCATCCATATTCCAATATTATCAGTTGACCTGACAGCATTCCTTTATAACATTCTTTTCTCCTTTAGTACAGATTCCAGTCTAGGGTCAGGTATTACATTTAGTAGTCAAGTCTCTAGCCTCCTTTCATCTGGAATATTTCCGGTCTTTCTTTGTCTTATATGACATTGATATTTTTAAGAATACAGTCCCTCCTTTTTTTTTCATTTAATATAACGTTCGTCATTTTGTATTTGTCTGTTTCTTCATGGTTAGATTTAGGCTATGCATTTTTTGGTCAGAATACTACCTAGATAATGTTGTATCCTGCTCAGGGTATTTTGTATGGAGGCATGCAATATCCATTTGGACCTTATTGGCAATGTCAATTTTGATCTCGCTTATAATGAATAAGCAGTCTGTGGGGAGATAATTTAAGAATATGCAAATAGCCACCTCCACATCAAATTTCCCCATAGGTTTACCGTCTATTGATAATTCTTGCCTGATCCAGTCTTTGCCATGGTGGTTACAAAATTATTTTTCTACTCCAGCACTCCTGCTGCATTCACCAGTTGGCCCTCAGCATTCTAGTCTGAGCAAAAGCCCTCCTCCTCCCCCCATTTATGTATTTACACCCTCTCCTCACTTATCAACATGGTTACGTTCCAAAAACCAGGCCGTTACGCAAAATCGTGTTACGTGAAAATGGAGGATGACTATATCATTATATAAATGGCCAAATTACATCAATACATGCTGTCATTTCTTCCAGGAAAAAGCATCATTATTAATGTAATGGCTCCTTTATGATTTTTCCTTGTTTTTGAGTATCAGCTTCCGACCCTACCCTACATCATTACATAACTGCCAAGTTACATCCATTATATAACTACCAAGTTACATCATCACATAACTGCCAAACCACTGAGAACATAGCCCAGCCAAGTTAAGATATAACGTTAGCCATCAAAGCCAGTGTTACTCTCACCTCATACCTTATCTTACGTTACTGCCAGATGTACATTGTTAATGTGCAAAATAGTTGGATAGTAGATTTTTTACTGTTGTCATAAATGTGAAATATTGGATAATAAGACAGTCGATAAGTGAGGAGAAAGTGTATTTATTTATTATTGGTACAGACATAAGAATTTCTATTTTTTTCCAATGGTTTATAATTCATTACAGTATTTAATGATTTTGGTGCTAAAATTGTCCCAAATTTAGCCGTTTGGATGCCCCTTACATCTGATTCTTAATGTGAGACAAGGTTTTTCACATAAGATAATGTTTTGTGTTCAACCAGTATTTTTATCCCTAATTTCTTATACCTAATTGATGAATTAAACAAAATAATCCTGGGAGATCGATGAACTTTGTTTAAATAATTAATAGAACAAAGCAATCAAAGCATGTTGATGTAGCCTCTCTCAAAGTAGTCCAATTTGGGTCCATAGGATGAGATCATTCTTTTTTACGTTCTTTCTGTTTCTCCTCTTTAGTGCTCTACTCTTCAGTCTCTTAAAAGGCCAATTGATGTATGAGATCATTCCCTCAAAATGAGTTGGAGATAGAGAAACAAGAATATTCCATTCCTTCCCCTGGGAAGACTAAGTATGTCTGTGTGGTGTTCAGACCTCATGAAGACTCTAGTGGCCATGTGGAGTTCTATCTATAGGGTTAGAGGAATAACTGTAATCTTCTCTGTGAATTTTTTATGAGAATGATCTCAATAGAATTTGTCTTCATTAAGTTGGAAAAGGCAATAAATAGTCCAAAATGTCAGAATTATGTATTTCTTAAAGAGTATATCTTATTCTATTGATATGACTCCTATTTTTCTGATTCTCCCTTAAAGATTATTATTGCCTGTCCGCTTTTCTTTCCATACTCTCATTATCCTGTTTCAAATATATCATTGATATTTTACCTAAATACAGTCTCTATTTCTTGAAAATAATTCCACATTTCTTTCCTAGCGCTATCTTGATGAAGCAGATAGAGATAAGGAACGTTACATGAAGGAACTGGAGCAGTATCAGAAGACTGAGGCTTACAAGGTCTTCAGTAGGAAAACACAGGATCGTCAGAAAGGCAAATCTCATAGGCAAGGTATCAGAACCAGAACCAAATGCATTTGTAGTTTGTTGTGCATAAAAGAATGTCACAAAGTCAACTATTAAAGCAGTGAAATATAAAAGGTGTGTTTCTGTCATCTCTGCTTATCCTACATTCACTTACAAGCATCATTTTGGAATTCTATCAAAATAGCATTGCTCTCATCCTAGAAAATTTCAGTTGGGTTTCTATATCCAGTGTCAACAGTTTGGCTGTGCTCCAAGACCCATATTTGTTGCCTGCC